CTTCTCTTGCCTCTGCTTGGCTATCTCCTCTGCCTTCTCTTCTCCACTTTCCCTGTCACTGTGCAGCTGCTGCGCCCTGAGCTGACCTGACTTGGCCCCCAACCCTGACACTCTACCAATCATCCACTGGCTCTCAGGAGTTTATAAAACTGGAGAAGCTGCTCTGGAGTCACACAGGTCAAATCCTGATAGTTCCTCTGTGCTTTCATCCTCAGCCTTGGACCCACTGGACGTATCTAAAAACCTGGGCTTGCCAGCTACCGCTGATCAAAACACCCAATAAAATCTTCCCTCAGCATAAATGCTTTTTAAAATTTTTGTTTTTATTTCAGTTTTCAAAAATCTTACATAGCCAGTTTCAGTTTCTGTAGCAGAGTAGATAAAACAGCTGCCCCCGAGAACAAAACAGGCCCCCTGCTAAATACACGCATCAATATAATTCTAGAACGAAAAGAACTGTAAAGTGATATGGTGTCACAAGCCATTACCAAGACATTGTGAAGATATACAGAAACAGTTATGTGAATATTAATAACTAATTTTCATGAGAAGCTTTTGTCCACAAATTACAATTTCCCACATCATACAGCATTGTACATATCAGAGGGACGCACAACAATAGGAGCCAATATGAACCCTAATTCTTCTTACATAGCTTTAGAAAAATCAAATCATGATAATATTTGTTTTTAGGCAGAATATCAAGTTCTGTGAGATATTGTATAATAGGGAACCAGAGCACCACAAAATTTTCTTGAGTTCTAGAAGATTGAGCGCTATAAGACAACATTTTACCTAGTATAAAGTAATCGCACAATCTAGTTCTCCAATTAGCAATAGAACGCAGTGATTTGTTCTTCCAGTGAGATGCTAAAGCACGTCTTGCCACTGTCAAAAGCAAAGTGATTCTTTCTAGTTGACTGTCACGGCAGGACCAGGGGGCGTGACGCAAGCAAGCAAAAGTCCAGAAGCAGTCCGAGGTCAAGCCGAGCAAATCAGGCAGCGAGGTTCAAACAGGTTTAAATCACAGTCCAAAAGCAGGGTCAGACATACCAGAGTTTCAAGTCCATAAATCACAACGATACCAGAGGAGTCAGAGATGAACGCAAAGTCAACGAAGCCGAGAGTCAAAAGCTGAGGATCAAGCCGATAATAATTCCACAAGGTCTGGAGCAGAGATGCAAGGATTCAGGTCCTGACAAACGACGTTTGCCAGCACAAATGACTGCTGGCAACAGACTTGCAGATATACAGTGCTAGCTAATCAACTCATTAGCTAGCCGGGAGCGAGGTCAGGATCCTGTCAATATTCAGGGCT